ACCCAAAAGACAGATCGTATCCAATACAATAAAATTCAAACTCTGATCACAGACTATAAAAGTCTTGTAGTGTAAACGTATGGTTCATAATGGCCGCTTCGAAATGGCACCATTTTCATGACACGAAATTGATATCGCGAGTAGGTGCAGCATTCAAAAATTTTAGAAAATTGGATTAACCTATATAATTGGTATCGTTTCCTTTTTAAGGACTGCCTCATTAGTCAATTCGATGCTCAAGTCGGGCACAACTCTAACCTATTTAAAATTTACTGATCTTGAACATTTTTCGTATTGACTACTACAGAGTCCGGGAGTGTCTTGTGTATAACAACAGTTTTACGTCTCTTTTTCTGGAACTTATAGTTGGCATAAAAACATACTCAATATATTCTACTCTGCCTCTCCCTTCTGGGAGTAAAAGTCATTATGTTATGTGAACGATTTTCTTTTCACAATGTCTAGAAAATATAGGACACGGAAGAACCTTTCTATTCAGTGTAAATAAAGCGAATAAGACATAAAAGCTAGGCGTTTACGTTGAGCTACAAATCTAAATTATCCGTAAGTGGGATCTTTTATCCTTTATCTTTTACAAAAGCTGAAAGCTGCTCTAAATGTATCGTCTCGTGTTGCAAACACTTCGTGGAGAACACAAACAACGTGTGCACCCAAAATTGGTACCTACCTATGTCCTAATTAATTCTAGATTGTTTTGTTGAATGCCCAGCTACCATCAACTGTCACCAACATAGACTGTCGATTGGACAAGTTAAAAATTGTGGAACTAGAAACATACAATACATAGCACCGTTTTAAATAAGAGGTATACACTTGTTGGTCTCAATAAAGCTATGTACTAGGTACCTACCTCATTACCTATTTACTTTTTTAACTGCAAAGTAACTAGACTCTAAGATAATAAAGTATTTTATTTTGGTCTGACTAACTTAAAGTAAGTACCTACTACTTAGGTATCTACTTAATAAGTATCTAATTAAATATAAGTTAAACGAAAATTATAAGAGTAAGATATCTAGGTAGGTAAGTATTTTAGGTTGTACAGAGAAAGTGAGAACAAATGGATGATAATAGCATAGCAATTAAACGAAATAAGTTAATAAAATTATATCCTATTAGATATATTTTTTTTTAGTTTACTTTAACTGTAGTATTTTCTTCACAATAAGTACATACTACCTAATAAAACAAATAAAATAATGATCTTACGCACCTTTCCAGCAAAAAATGTACTCAAGGAACTTAATGAAAAGTTTATACAAAAAATTAATTAATGTAGGTCCGTAGGTACCTTCCTAAACCTTTTTAAATATGAACCAAAAGCCATCAAAGTGTTTTTCATATTCAAAGTTCGTTTTATAGGAGCCATCTTGAATTATTTTATTAAAATTTGGCTTAGACGTGGTTCATAAAAGTGCCACTTCTTAGGCCTCTCGCTCGGACCGGGATACTTTGGGAAATTTACATTTATATTGCAAAGGTATCTTATGTTTAAGCTTGTTAAAACTTAAGGGTGCGTCCGGAGTTTTGCTTGAAGAGATTGCTGATATATTATTATGTATCCTGGTCTTGTAACTAAAGACCTAAGTCCTTTAGGACTTATTATGGTGACTTGAAACGAACACCGTTGTATCATGAGTTAAACAAAAATCTATCTAAAGTTATCTAACATCGCTGTGACTCCATTCACTGAGAAAGGTGTCTTATGGAATCAGCCGAATAATTCTAACAACAATAGAAATTAGGACTCGGCCACATGATCAAAGGTTACTCTTAAGCCACTAACCTAATAGCACATCAAGCACACCTAATAGTTAATTAATAGGCACATTATATTGACACTTCTTAATAAAATTTCATTAGATAAGGTCATTTTCATATTCCTCTTGAAAAACGGAAGAGAATGACATCATTGAAATATTCAACATTTTAGAATGACGTAATTAACGAGATCGCGAAAGAAATTGAATTTACGACGTACGACGACGATGGATATTTAGCATACCAATACCTACTTAATATTCACCAATCATTACTCTATGCACGATCAGCCCTTAACTGAGCAGGCAGGTTAGGGATAATAGAAAAACGTGGGGACAAAACTATACATTAGGCAAGTCCTAACGAGCTAAGTGGGTCTTTAGGTACTTAGATAGTAAAGTAGGTACTTATCTATGGGCTAACTGACCTTAACACTTTAAATGTCTAGAAGGTAAGCTTATCTAGGTATTCGGTACATTATGGGGCTTAGTACGACTATGTTTACGATTAAAGTAAAGTAATCATAATGAGACCGCGTCCGGCGCTTGATTGGTTGGTTGATTGGACCCGGCCAATCAGAGCGCGGAATACGGTCTCGTTTCGGTTACTTTAAACGTAAAACAAACTCATACTAAGCCTTCTGAGAAGGCACCTAATTTTAAGGTGTGTGTAACCTATGTCTTGTGTATTTTGACACAAATTTAAATATGTCATAATCTATCTTGTCCCCAAACGGTCACCGGTGACCGCTCTCCACTTAATCCATTATAGACCTTATATGCGATGGTTAAAGACTACTTTCGTATGAACAAAACATATGGATTTTACATAATCGAGGATTAATAAGTTAATGACTTTAATGACTACTCGCATGGTTTAGATTCTCAGTCGTAATCTAGATTCTTATCTATGAAACTAAATTCATTCATTTATTCGTCAAGAACCTAGGTCCATTGGCTCGCTGTCATTGCAGTGGTAAGTCCCCCTGTTTGAGGAGAGGCTTGAGAGATAGTACGGCGTCCTTACCTACCACCTGACGCAGGTGCTTACCGGATACGGAAGTTTCGGTATGTTTCGGATTTGATCGGGAGGAAACGCCCGGATGTCATCCGGTGAATGGTAGCGGTGTGTCCTGCGTGAGCTGAGCACCGCCGTGTCCTCAGCTCACGCAGCAGCTCGGATGTGATCGGCGACTGGAATGCCGTCGCCTCCGACTGCGAAGCAGTCATGCTAGCTTAGGAGGAGGCGGAGCGCGTGAGGGAACGAACCTCCTCACGACCTCGGATCGCAAGACGATCTCCGGCCACCGTAAGCACGGGCCTGTGGACGGCGAGCACGGGTGACTCGCCTCGCCGCCCGACCAGAACCAGGGCCAAGCGTACGGCGCGTCGCATTCCGCGCGCGCCTCAAGGAGCTATTAAACCACCACAGATGACAGACCACAACAGGGCTGATGCCGATACGGAGCCGCGGAAGACAAAGGGTTGCCGACGAGTGCAGGAGTAGGAACGGGGTGGTTTTTAGTCAGTAAGAGTCTGACACTTCCCGCTTCACCCGGGCGGGAGAAGTCATTGGATAAATAATTTCCCCCCCCCCCCCCAAAAAAAAGTTCCGTAATTATAATCAGGAGGGTGTTTATATTCGCTCTGATAATTATATGCGAACTTTTTTAATAGGTATCTTACCTACTTGTGTACGGATCTTTAACCTTTTAGGTATGTAAATTAATGAAAATTACATCAGGTAGGTAGATAAATCGGTTAGTCAGAAAGTAGGTAGTCGACTAAATAAGAAAATGGTATTTAACAACTAGGTCAAAGGTCAGTGTCTAATTTTAGCGGCTTGGAACGAAAATACGGCCTATATTTAACAGCAACAAGTTCAAGATTTCAGTCATTTATATATTGAGTGTTTTGTAAGTCTTCAATGCTGACGATAAGGCACGTACCTGGAAGTAATAACTAATTAAGTCACTGTGATGATATAATTTGGGCAACGTCTATTTTGCAAGAAATATTCACATTTTTTTTTATTTTGATATAGTTGCATCATAGTATAAAGAACAAAGTAGGTTATCTTCATACAAATGCTCCGCGCGCGGCTTATATGTGTGCGCCATAGTATCTATGCGTCGACGCACGCACACTTTAACAAAATCTCGACCCGTTTCTCAGTGCGCCAGGCAGGGCTAACACTGCACGAGGTTCGCGCGCGCTTCACGGCTTTTCGGCACTGTTCAATGAAATAAAAAATGTCTGATAATCGTAGAAGAACGTATTGCTGTGTGTTTGGGTGTCTTAATAATTAATTGATTCCAGAACTGTCTCTGTTCAGATTAGGTACCTATTGAACAGGAAAGGTAAGCTAGTCACTTTTTCTAGCATAATATAATTTGTAGGTACTTGATGATGAGATACCTACTTACTTATTCTTACTCTTATCATTCTTCATAGTTCCTACTCAACCAGAAATGTAATTACCTACTATACTTAAATATTATAAGAAAATGTGGTATTGTATTGTTTATTTCACAGTTTATCTGATTTGTTAAGAACGTAGCCGAGTCGCATTTTTCCATATAAATGTATTCCCAAATTTACTTTCTGAATACTATGTATACTGCTAAAGTTTATTTTAAGAAGTTAATAATCTTTTTATAAGCTTTTTATTTTTACTAAATTTATAAATTGATAAAATATTCAATCATAATATGCTTTTCTTTTCATAAATTTAGATCAAGTGCTGCTTGTTCGAAAATATTAACTAAAAGTAAAAGTGACAACCCTGGGGATCAACGCAAGAGTAGGCTAATAACTCGGCGGGCGGCCTTAGACAACCTACTGTATATGTTTATACTGTGGTTGCATTGTTCCCACTAGTGCCCTCTATGCAAAACATTATGAATTATTAGAAGACTTCAACTTATGCGAATCAAAGGCAACAAAACCGCAAATGAACAATATGTTTTCTCATAGTGAAGGTTAACAACGTTTGACAACACATAAAACAAAAGGTGTGAAAAAATAAAACAAACATTTAAAATTATTTATGAACGTATGATCGTTTCTGAACAAGAACAAACTGACGGCTTTGTTATCAATGTGACATTTCGTCTTCTGCTGTCATGATGCTGTCATTCATGCTGTCATTGTTGTCAAAAGTGAAAAGTTGTTCAGTTCAATGTTTTTGTATTAAATATATTGATTTTCACAGTAAAAATGACTGAACCAGAGGAATATAAATGTGTAAATTGCGGTGAAGCAGCGGCGGCATTGTACAGGACGTACGGACCGTCAGTACTGAAGCTCACAAAATGTGTAAGATAAACATTATTATAAAAATTCTGCTGAGGACACTTATCGTCGCGTCTTATCTACAAATAAAGCGTCTATATTTTGCTAAACCACTTTACTCAATTTATCCCATTTTAGGTATATGGTTTTCATTAAACTTTCTGCCATGTAGGTAATTCGATACTTAATGTGATGCGATAGACAACAGTAATTACTTATTGTTTCAATTTACGAGACCTTCGCAAAACAATGGATTATCAATATTCTAGATGGATAATTTCTGTATCTACATAGCTATTAATAAATTGATCTTGTGTGGTTTCAGGAGAAATGCAAGGGTATAGTGGATAAATACATAGAATATGATCCAGTGATAGTAATGATTGATCTAGTTTTAATGTCCAAGGAAGCTCAAAGGCATACACTCTATAATACTGAATTTAAGGTAAGAGATTACTCAACATAATACATAAATATTGTTAAGCCTTTTCTATTAATTTTAAATCTTGCTATGCCTGATGGGGTCTGTAATTGTTAACTAATATTGTATTTCCTGGATGCAATAAATACTTGAAAACCTACTTGTTTTCAAAATTATCATGGTTTATCTTAAGCAATAATATAATCTAAAGTTATTACTTAATTTCACTTAGATAAGTAATACTAAAATTCCTATTGCAACAATTTCAGGCATTCTGGAAACTAGCCATTGTACTGGTGATGGTAGAAGCATATGGAGTGTGGAGGAGTGACAGTTTATTTAATATCGGAGTCAATTCTATTTGTGGCATTGAAAATAATTCTACTAATTTGTAAGTTATTTGGCTTGGTAAAATGCTATATTGTTCAAAAAGTTTACTTATGAGCATTACTTGACCATTATCCCATGTCAATTAATTAAAGCTAGCTTCACTGACAGACAGACGGATCGACAATTCAATTTTTGATGTTTCAAAAGTGTACCTAATTATTAAAATAAATTCTTTGACTTTGACTTTAAGAACATCTTTATAATTGCAGAACTATACCAATCAACATATCACAATCAGTCCCAGAGTCTTGGAAAATAAACTGCTGGGCGTGGGTCCCAGTGGAGAAGGGGGATGAGGACAATGACCTGTTTATATGGGAGAAAGACTTCTACATGCAGTTCACATCTACACTTTGTGGTTTGTATTGTTGTTAAACATAGTTTAGTCTGTGATAAATAGTTTTCCTTCAGTCATTATCAACAGCCTATAAGTCGCCACTGCTGGCCAAAGGCATCTTCTCGCACAGAGGAGGTTTGAGTATTAATCACAATGCTTGCTCAATGCGGGTTGGCGATTTCAAAATTATAATTATAAATTATAAGCCCAGGTTTCCGCACTGTTTGTCAGTTGTGTCTAGTCTAGAACCTCCGGGCCACCACAACATATTATCTTCAGTAAAACAAGGGTAAAATGATGTTTTCTAAAACAAGATAAGCTATAAGCTAATGTCATTGTAGCATGTTTTAAAGGCATGTTGGCATATTATGTAATATATGAATTAAAATTCATTCATTCATTTTTATTCTATTGTCTTTCCCAAAGGAATTCCAATTAAAATAATAATTGATTTATTGATTATGTATTGTTTTAGGTATAATTATATTTATAGCAACAGTTCATCTGTTGATGACAATGGCAACACCATTTTCATCACAAAATAGAGGTAAGTGATTGCTAGACCTAAGCTATCATCAATATTCTAGGAAGAGGTTGGTACTTATACACACAATTTTATAACTTTTATACCTAAGTTTTTTATTCAGTTCCTTCATCATTCACTAGTCTCAATTGTAATAATACAGTTACAATGCAAATGGTTTTATATAAACTGCTTTTGGTACCTATTAATATTTTGACGTGATTAATGAAAGCCAACTTTGTTTATATCCTGAGGCTTATTTCTATTTATATTGATTCCAGTGCCCATAATGCGGATTTTAAAAGCCTTCACATTAGCAGACGTGAGCATATTGTTCACACTGCCGATGTTAGTGTGGGGCTCCGACACTTCAGCTGACACAAGAACCTTCCATTTTGTACTAGTCTATGCATACAGCTTCGTAGTATTTCTAAATGTATTTAGTGGTGAGTATGAAGTACCTATACACGTCTATCAATAAATTCAGCCTTGGTTGTCAAGAAATGACTGCCAAACAAAGGTCTGAACCTCTCAGGTTTTAAGATTCCTGCATCGGTAAAATATTGTCAAGGGTTTCTAGAACACCTGTCAATAATAGCATGGACCCTAGAAAGGCCTAGACATTATGAAACCCGCGGGAAGAGAAGGGTTGATTTTAGATGTTACATAACGTGTAACATCAACTCAATTTATAATAACTATCGTGATACATACTAAATCAAGTAAAAACGCGGGTTACTCACGTGAATATACTGAGAAAAGCTCTACTAGTTTCGAACCACAGAGGGGTTCTTCCTCGTGAGCAGCGTGCGCGGTCGTGGCGATGTCGCGTAGCCTATTGGTCAATAGGTTCGAAACTAGTAGAGCTTTTTTCACTATATTCACTTGAGTAACCCGCGATTTTTAGTTAATTTAGTATGTCTTACGATATTTATCAAGTCAATTCCTTAGGCATTATGGCGACACATGTCACATGTCAACGGATGACGTCATAAAATTCTAGATCACACATGCAAAGTTTACAATCGAATTAACACGAGTAGAAAATCGCAACGAATAACTGTGGGGCAGAAAGCCCGTCAGGCACGATCACCTCGCCTGGTCGGAGGATCATCCTCTTCCGATCTTAGGGAACTATACTCTCTGTTCCCTAAAGCATAATAACAAAATGTGCCAAAGCACTTCATAATCTTAATGATACCTTTTTCTGTTTACAGTGATATACAAGTGCCCGGTAGTAATAACGATATTAATTCTAATAATAAGTAATATCACAAAATGTGTAACAAGTTTCCATGCGACAGTCTTCTTGAAAAGAATATTTGGATATTGAGAGAAAAGAACAAACCGCAACTGGTCATTCGAGAGATTGTGAGTCTGAAATTCAAAATTCCATCCTATTTGAAGGCTACCGTTTTTTTCTTACTAGATGGCGCTGTGAATTATAATCATGTGTGTCCAATAGAAAATTAGCTGGTGTCAAACAATTGGACGTTAAATGTTTGACAGTTTCTGTGATTGAACAAAAATACTTAAGGATGTTAGCGCCATCTGTTGAGCAAAGAAACGGTAACCCTCGTTGAATAAAAATAAAATTAATAAGAATAAAATAATAAACAATTCCACAGTATCACAGAGTATTTATTTCAAAAATATAACCTTAATATATTTTGCTATTTATGGGTTTACTTAGCTAAATATATTATAAGATATAGTAATATACATGTAGTTTACATATGTTACACTTACATAGCAGTACACATAAGCACATATTACTATTGAAGCTATTTTTATAAAGTTTAATATGTGTAGGTAAGTGATATAGAATAATTAATAGGGGAAATTGCATTTAAATTGTAGTAAATAATGTTCCTGGATCGCATTTTACGATCTTTGTCACAAAAAATATTATTTAATTTATTACATTCGTCATGTTTATTCAAATAATTTTAAAATATCTGACAATAAGATGATTAATTATTGATAAAATTTCGAAACAAAAGTGTGATACTATGATCGTCATGCTTCGACTGGTAAAAAAATATATCGGGAATGTATTTATATTTTTATTATATCATGATAGTATTACTGCTTCTTTCCATTTTGAGAGAATATTTTAATGACTAACTCTAAATGCAATACTAAATTCATGCTGCTAAACTATGCGAAGAAGCTGTGCTACTAGCTGCTTCTAACACAATCATACGAAACTATATTAGGTACTATAACTAACCACTAATATAATGTATAATGTAAATATGTAGAATGAAACACAGACAAATTCAATATGTTTGAGTAAATTAAAACTTGATTAACTATTAAATGACTTAAATTGTCTCAAAGCGAAATCGGCAAATATAACTCTATTCCACTGGAATTTAATTTCAAAGTAAATGAATAATGTGGAGAAAAAAATTTAGGAAAATTGCAAGTTGGTGAATGCATATAATTATATAACTCTAACAAAAACATTTCAGTTTATTTAAAAATTAAATTTGTGCCAAATTATTAAATCTAAATCCAATTACAAAATTTGACAGCACATCCATAAATAAATACTTAATTAATAATTAAAAGAGATAATTTAATACAATACCATTAACCTTTTGACAACTTATTGGACTAAAATTATTTGACTTACAAAATTGAAAAAATAACATATTAATATTATAATTTTGTCACAGTAAAATAAGCCTGCATAATTTTTCATAGAAATACAATTCGTTTTAATGTAAACAAGATAATCTAACTAGCTATAGCAAAATATACAAAATTAATTGTGAAATAATATTTCGTTTATAACTGGCAACACCATTCAGTCTTTGGCTAAATTGAGCAGAAGCAAAATCTAACATGAACTTATCTAAGAAATATAGAAAATTATAAAATGTTAGAACAAATATGCAACATACTAATAAAATGGCGAATGTATGCTTAGGCTAGAAATAAAAAGATAACATTTTTATTTATTAACAAGTTAAATATTACTTCTACAACTACAATAGGTATCCCTCAGTAATAATAAAGAAAAAGGGAAACTAACTTGTGCTGGATATTTAATTACAAGAATTTTTTTACTAAAAGATGAATCACAATAATTGCCAAGTTTCTTCGTCTGAGCATAATAAAGTTTTGGATAAAACAATGACCAGTTTTTACCAATTAATTACTCAATTACAACTACCTATTATAATATAAACCAGAATTTGTTCCATAAACAATATGAATAATTTTGCTGTGTGAGTTCCAGTGTTATTTAAAAAGTTTAAAATCATTAACAAACTATCACATAGAGATAAAAGAAGAGTAACAATGTATTAATCATAAAGAGCTATCCTATATTTTATCATACTCCCTAATAGGCATTTGTTTACCTATGTCGTATAGGCAAGGTGATTCATTTACACAAGCAGGCGTCACGCACACATACACAGTTGTAACAAGCTATGACATGTGGGGAAATTATGTTGTCATTGATACTATCAGTTGTTGTTTTTATGTCAATTATAAACAGTGCCCTTTGTTCAAGTAACAAGAATAAATAATGTCTTTATTTGCTGGAGATAGTTGATTGGTTAGTTTAATCATTTGGAATGTGATCCGAATTTTTTTCATTAACAAATAATGACTATAAGACACTGTTTTGAATGTCAAACCTTGTATGTGTATGTCAATCACCTTTATACACTTAGCCAAAACGACAACATAGAGAATATTTATTATTAATACATTTTAACATTGTGTTTGGAAGTGTTCTGTTTGACCTTACTTGTACTCAGATATTTGGTCCGATGCCAATTTCACTTTCCTTGATAACAAAACAGTAATGTTGTGAATTTTATTGGCATTTTCTTTGTGCTTGTTTTAAAACAGGTATAATGTACCCAAAAACTATTTATAGAGATCCCAACATACAATTTTAAACCATAATATTGTTGCTATTAAAGAAATATTAGTTATTCTCAATTTGTTACTTTCTAAAACTTTCTAGAGATTTTGCTTTACTTATATAATTTTGTTTGATTATATACTTAATAATTATATACTTACTTACTTATTATTGAAAATAATGGTGCAATGTAAATTCATACAAGCATGCTATGAAAAAAAATTAAGAACATTATTTTTCCTGTTTAATAAGGAAAAATGAAATCTATCAAATGTATGTTGCAATAATGAAATAGGTATTGATCGAATAATTCTAACATTTCAAACTACCTGTTTTCAAGTTACCAGCATTATGTTATAAAGAGAAACAAAACAAAATAATTACCTATCATAATCAATAACATGTTATCTTAATCCAAACTAGTATCGACAAAACACTTCCAAATGATATTCCCATTACATATAACAATTACAAGCTACATCAATAAATAGTATACGGCAAGGCAACTAGGGGCTGAGAGGCGGGTCGTCGTTACCGATCATAACGTCTTCGTACATGACATCATGTGTCCGTCTTGCCTCAATCTTCTGCCGGACATAATCAACTAAATTGTACTTCCTAACTACCAACACAGCGCCTGTTATAAGGAGAGCAAGCGTGCATATTGTTACTAGAGCTACCGTCGCGCCGCTGTGCGACCCTGACACGTCCGCCGGTGTCTCGCAATCATCCCCGACGCGCACAAACCCCTCCAGGCATTCACATTGATTCGTTTTACCAACACACTTCTGGTTCGCAGGACACGGATCCAGAACCGTTACATTGCAGGACAGGATGTGCTCTGTTAAAAAGAATAAACTACGTAACACACAATAAATTGATTCAATTAAATAATCGTTGGCTACTTAAACTTACCAGAGCAACCGTATTGTATTAAATTCAAGAGCAAAGTCACCAAGATGTCGATTGTTTTTAGACCCATGATGTAGTAACACTGCACCGAGAATTTATTTACATTACAATTACTGCAAAATATGCTTAGTTTTCGTCTGTTTGAAAAAGCGAACAATACCTTTCTACCAGAAGCGCAAGCAAAACAAATGTCACAAAATATTGTGCTGTCATACTTCACACGCGTTTCGTTATCACATTATGTGAAGTTAGTTATTGTAGAAATAATTCACAAATACTAGATTTTTACCATATAAATTAACCAATGTTTTATGAAAATAGTTTTTTACGTCTTTTATTGTATAATTTCTAAAAGTTTTTATTATTTTATATTTTTGGTCGAAACTTTAAAACTCTTTAAGTATAATAAAACTAAACGTCTCAACGTTTCTGTCAACGCAGAATATTGTACATGATTCCGGTAAAATCAAACAAACGTACAGAGAAAAATAAATAAAACATCGGTGTTAAGTAAATTGTAAATACATGATAATATATTTTTTATAACATTCTTATGAAAATATGTAACAAAATATGTATTTAACAACTAAGAAAGTATAACGAAAGATTGCACACTAATAAACGCCGCTAGTTCTAATACCCGGTAACAGATGGCATTATAATGTCATTTAAAATTAATTTTAAAGTTCTACAATCTATCAGTCTAGTAATAATAACTATAAACTGTAAGTTAATTTATTCCGAGTCTTCTTCACCCCAAGTGTATTTTTCGGGTAAGACGTAGTCCCTGGGATCGTGTCCAAAGGCTTCAACTCCACCGTTGCCATCATCAGAACCCTCTCTGTAAAGTAAAAAACAATCGTTATGATGATACCATCTTCGTTGACATCGCTCTTTTTTCAATACCTAAAATTCCGAAATCTTACTTTAGTTCAGAATGTGTTACATCTTTGTGCTGTTTCTGCTTCTTCTTTCTTGGTCGCTCATCTTCTTCGTACTCTGAATGTTCTGGCTCTGTTTCAGCTACAAAAAAGGAAAAGAAAATCTTTCAAAAAAGTGTGGTTTGTTAGCTGAGTGTCTTTAGTGAGTTCTTTTCTCAAAGAAAAACAGTATAATTGTATTGGATGACATTTATAATAATTTTTAATAGATACTTTTGCTTCTATTAATCAGTGTTACATTTAATTATTAATTGGCAACTGATGTTAATCGGTGGGGTTAGTGAAACGTGTTGTCTATAAATGAATCGTATCAGCCAAGCCATCTGAAAATCCTTTTCAAAAACTTTCTGGGTCTTCTAATAAGTTTTTCTGATTCACCTAAGGTCTCATAGTTGTTGCTGTAGGCTCCATCTTGGCCCTTCTCGTCCTGGCCATAAGAATCCTGCTTCTCAAATTCGTAGTTGTCTCCGGCCTTCTTGTGGTAGGAGTCGAAGTGTTGGTAGCCTTTCTTACCACCTCCTGACTTCTTGCGAGAGTAGCCTATCTCACCATCACCTTCGTTCTGGACTGATTTGTGCCAGTCATCCGGCTAAAAAAAGAAAAAGGTATTATAGTTTGCACAGTCAATGTTGCACGGTATCCCTATTTTGCGCGAGAAGGTGCTGCAGTACACATGCAAATGATTATCTTCGTGGTTACGTGTAATTTACATTCATAGTAAAATTAACAGAACAATAAAAACTAAATAAAAGCTTACCTAAATCAGTAAGACTTTAACAAGTGGATTTTTAATCCATGCTAGAATTGAACTCTTGGCACATAGCGCAACGGGTAAAGGTCAGTATTGGATACTTACGGCAGCAGCTCTAGTTTCTCTCACGTATGAGCCAACGGATATGGTGTCATCGACCATAAGAAGGTCTTCCAGAGTATTGACAGATTCAGTAGGCAGGCTTATAGCCAGCTGGAGCAGGCCCAAAGCAATAGTAGCTAATTTTAACACCATCGTCGTACCTATGAAAACATTCGGAAGAAACATTAATATGTTTTAAAGTAAAATATAAAAATAGGTGTTGATTCTAGCCATATTTTTTACCTGCCTCAGGCACGTGACACAAAAAGTACTTACAGTTGCTTTGACGCGTTCAGTTCAGTAGCAACTCAGCACAATAATTCAAATCTTTGTATTTTATATAACACGATATTGCAGCTACCTTGGTCTTTCACAACGGCTGCCTGGCCGGCTGACCTATGGTCGGTTCTTCTCGAGTACCTTCGATCAGATTAACAGTTTTTGTGACCATTTCATCAATGATTTGTTTAAAGTTATTTTGCGGTTAAAACCGTTGCTTGTGTGGTGACCTGTGACTATAAACAATGCGAAGAGTTTGTTTTCTCTTAACTTTTTTCGTAGGCTTTTTTATATTTTCGTTATTTTGTTCTTTTGAGTGCTGTTGGTAGTAGGTACTTATTTTTGTTATTGTTAAACCTTATCTAGAGAATTCATTAACCTAAGTAAAATATTTTTAGGGGTTTATAAAACCAAAACGATAAGGTATATAGTATATATACGCTTATTAATTATATTATTATCGTCATTACCAGTCATTACATTCCACATTATGCAATACCTATAATGCAAAATATTAATAAAATAGAACAAGTATCGTAGCGCAGAAAAACGTCTCGTTCTTCATTGACGACTTTCTACAAATGTCCAAATGCGACGTAGTCCTTTTATTTATCATAGCATTGTTGCAAAGCAATTACATCTACTTTTAATTAATTTCCTTCATCAGGTTTCTATGACCTTCAAAGATTTGGTAATGTTGGCAACTTCGCAGAAAATTAAATGTTTCATTACTTTAAAGGCTATTTTTCAATAGTTCATGAACAACCAACACAGCATGAAATTGAGCAAATACCACAGACATGAAATGAACTTGGGCAACGCCGATATGTCGCCGCTAGACGTTGATTACTTAGGTTATGAAACGATTGAATTGTGTGTTTGGCGACGTAATAACAAGAACATTCCAGGTTTGGTAAACCCTTTTTATTAAAATCTTAAATTAGGTAGGACCACCCATGGAGGATTAAACTCTCAATTAAGTCAAGTTTCATCTAAATGGACACAATAATTCCATTGGAAAACACATTCATTCATTCTATATTAGTAGTAATTATATTTTAGTAGACAAGAAGTTGTCTTCAATCGATAACAAATCGTTTTGACTTGTCAATACGTGTGATTTGATAGTGCACCTAAATTGCCAAAGGTATCGCCTACTTTTATTGTGTAGCAAGCTGCGATTTATGTCACGGAATAAATAAAACCGTTAGTATGTAGGTGTATTTATTTATTTGAGATCAGTTCTAGTAGTAGCCTCTGGTAATAGATAGTTGTTAAAAGTTAAGAGGAGGAGGGAGGATCTCCTCCTGAAGTTCTTTAAAAACCGACGTCGTGTCTAAGTTGTCGTGATGGCCCGAAAGTTTAAGACGCCCGCTTCTCATGCATGGGTGCGGGTTCGAAATCTACCAACGACAAGTACCAATGTGACTTTTTCCGAGTTATATGTACTTTTTAAGATTATTTAGACACCACTGACAAACGGTGAAGGAAAACATCGTGAGGAAACCTAGAGTTATAATTTCTTATTATAAGTTTGAAATCGTCAACCCGCATTGAGCAAGCGATATTATTGCTCAAACCTTCTCCGTGTGAGAAGAGGCTTTGTTGAACAGTGGCCACTGCACTTATAGGCTGCTGATGATGATGAACGTGTCCATAGATGGTACTAAAATAACACACGGGTATATTACAAAAGTGTTTACTGAACAGTCGTCATTAAGCCGCCATTACCTATACTTTATCTTCACATTTTGAAAAATTGCTATTTTTTTCTAATGTTCTATCGGTGAATGCCGTGTATACTGCTATGAAATTTCCTGGTTCTAAATAACTGCTTCTATTAGATTCCATTTTGCTTGTTGTAGTAGCTTCGGTTATAGGTTGCTCATGTACAACATCAGGAAGAACATCATACATCAACTGCCATTCCTTTGTTAGTTTCATGTTATCCAAAGCACTTGCGCTACAAAATAAAAGAGACTTTGCAATCATCATAGACTATGAAATGACTGCAGAACTAAGAGTACTCTTAAGGGATACAAGGAATTCGTCCATGCTTTGCCAGGGGATTGCAAATTTTGGTAATGCTTTCGTCTCTTGGCGGGTCGTTGCAGTTTTTGAAACATAACGGAGTCTAAGTCTATATAGTCCAATGGATTCAGATAAGATTTAAAATTACATCGTATTCCACGTTTTGACAATGAATTTGACATAACGTAAAAGAAGTTATATTAGACCTTGCGAGTGTAAAATTTTTTTTTTTTTCTTGGGTTCATAGTGCGTTTACTTACATAGCATCATCAGCAACATCGAACCGCAACACTGGGAAGCCGACATCGTGTCCTCTCTGGATTGCATTTTTAACCAGCAGGTGAACAATCTCTGTATTTTTCGGACTATCGTGGGGTACTATTAGGATTATCTGTGGGTTAAAATTACAGTATGTATGATTCTATGGGTAGCTAAGCAGTTGTATGAAATCGTTTTATAGGATTCGCACAACTTTATTTGATGTTAAAAGTCTCTAGCATGGCTTGAAACTGCTCGGGTTCATCGTCAAACAATTACGTGAGGAAGCCAAAAAACATGATAATAGATTTTATTTTTACTATTTTAGCTATCATTTTTGTTTCTAGTAGTGCATTCATGCCGTTTGGCTTTGATAACTCAATTTAATTCACCTGCAAAATATTATGCACTCGGTATTTGTCGTGCAGGGCTGGTGCTCGTAAGCAGTGAGCGGTGAAGTGCATCAGTCTCCGGGAGCGCCTACACCTGACGCAGCGAGCCCACCGTTCCAGCAACATGGCGTCCCATGGGCATACTGCCATACCGAGCGCCAACCCTCGGATTTGGGACCACCCTCGTCGCGGTTCTTGTTGTTCTGCTAACATTGAGTGACCTGGAAATTAACAAACATAATTACTAACGCCATAATAAAATTAATAAGAATTGCAAATACTACAAAATTAGCTCAGAGAACCTAAATTTGACACGAATGAGTCAGCTCGATCAGAGTGATATAATGGCCTCACAGAAAACCGGCGTGAAACAACGCTTGTATTGTGTTTCACCGTGCGAGCGAGGAGGTTTCCGGAGGCCTATCGTCGTTCAGACTAAGTGAATACTTGGAACTTGGAACATACCCTGTGCTAGTGCCCTTGCAACGTAGTCACACAGCACAAGCTGAGAGGGTGATGGTGGTGAGGAGATGAGTCCAGGCCAGGTGGTCTTAGCGTGCTCGCGCACGAACCGCAGCACGCGCGGCACGTCAGCCACGCGCGCGCGTCGTACTCGCATGCGGTCATCATTATCACTCCCCTGCACCTGCAAACTGCGCTCATACTGGATTACCTGTACAGCTACTTACTTTATAACTTACTCTAGTATAGGGCTCTTTAGATTTTCGATAATATTAGAAACTAATAAAGACTAAAACCGGTTAAAGATCGGATAAGCTTGACTGGACTAGCTCGCTTATGGAAATAACTATACCTAAGTAAAAATAGGTATGTTAATACGCTTTCAGTTTTACATAGGTAATGGAAAAATGATCCGATCCATAACTATAAAATTAGTCGAAGAGTACCCATGGAGTCTTGCTCATTCTTCTATTCACATTTTGAAACGTACTTTAAACTGTCGAACACCAAGCGGTCACCGGTGACCGCAACCTATTGTTCTTTAATTGTGTCTATAAATACGGTACTCGACGAGTTAATTATAAACCTGTAGGTATATCCTCAATATAAGGAACTACTAGCTAGCTACTGCTAAAGCTACTGTACTGCATGGAGCTGTGTAATGACCTGGGATCTCACCACAACGTGCTTTTCTTGTTTATCGGCGTAACTTCTTGTGGGGTTCCCGGTGATACAGCTCAGCGCGATGCGTTGTTTCCTGACGGTCTGTTTCGTAAAGAATTTCAATAAACTTGTCAATGCGGACATAGTGGGGCAGCTGAAGATTGATATTACTTATGTTCCATGTAAGTTCATATATTATATTTATGTATGTTTTTCATGTTGAGGTCTTTTACTTTATCTTGGAATTTAATTATTATAAAATATTCAAAAGTATACTAATGGTGGCATAGTGACGGCTGTTGTGTCAATTTGTTAGTTTTAACATTAGGTTTTCTGAATTTGAAATGCCTTTCCAGTGGCCAGGTTATAGTAAAAAAGGTTTTATTTTGTTTTATTCAAGGTTTGTATTGATTTAATTTTAAAGTGATTTTCAAAAACTCATACCAAGTAATATTTACATAGAAAATATTCATTTATATAATGGAATGGGATAAAATATGGAATAATTTTTACTTTTCTTTTTCGTTTCCACAGCTTTGATGTACAGATTCCCAGCTCCATTCTGTCATCTGTCACGGCTCTCAATTTCTTTCCATCTCTCAACTTGAAACCATGTCGTAAAATTATTTTCAAAAATATAAAAAAATAGCAAAAAAAAACTGTAAAAAAATCATGAAGTAAAAATAGAGATGCTATTCAAAATGCAGTGTTTGAACGCGTTGCGGGCAAGTGCCCTAAAGTTATCTACTACGGGTGTAGTGAGCACTGCCCAGCCTCATATCAACGTCATAACAAAGAGGTTGAAGAGGAGTTCTCCTTGTGATCGGTGTTTTATTCCGAAGCATAAGAAACCAGTTAGTATTTTCTTCATTGACATCAGTCCAGAACCCTGTACATCAATGCTATTAATTATGATGATCTATCGTGGTGGAATGAAGTCTTGTCTACTCGTGAACTTCAATGTTTACTTTTATTTTACCATGTATTTGTGTAATGAAACTCAATATTCTGTATGGTTTCCATTCACAGTGTTTCGATATTCGTAATATAATTATCGAACGTGCAACCGAGTGCCACGGGAAGCTGATCCGTTCGTTTCTTTACACGCACTACTGGCCGCGTGAGCCGACCGTCATCGGCTTGTGGATGTCCCTAAATAGCCCCCTTTTGGATGTACTCACAGATAAATATATGAGTTTTGGTAAGGAAGAAGTCTTAGTTACATAGTATAAATTTTAATGATACCTACCTACTGAAACAAAATATTTTTAATGTATAGAAAATGATGAGAATGGAGTAAGGTTTACGTAAACTTATATGAAACAGTTTGCAATTATTTCCATTTTTATGGGGAATATCTAAGGACATCTGCAACACCAGAGGATATCATAATTATAAATTAATTATGAATAGCCTATAAGCGCCAAGTGCTGATCAAAGGCCTCTTCTCACTCGGACAAGGGGTTGAGGTAGAGATGGAGGAACATTGGACATAAAAATATTTGTTGATCGTGTAATTTGAACAATGGACTGTGGACATTCATTGCTTTGTTTCTACAGGCGATCGTATGTTGGCTTTTGAGCGCATTAAGAGAACAAAGGAAACCAAGTTAGTTGGTCTCTCGGTGGCCAGCAAGCTCTACCCGTGGATGATAGGAGAGCTCGACGAGTGGGCACATGTCACCACCATCATGCCTGAGAAGTACAAGATATATTTCACTGCACATTGCCTCAAGCAACCCAATCTGTTTAAGAAGTACAAAGTTGATTATATTTATGACGTGAGTTTTTATATCTTTAACAATATATACTCAAATTTATCTGATGTACAATAATGGCAAAGTTGTATACCTACATTTATTATACAGCGAGTGATATAAAAGTCGATTATCCGTGGTATATATTATATGTATGGTATGGTGGTATTATGCCGGAACGTAGATCTATGCGAGACACAATGTACCGACATCCAAGCGGTTAAGAAACAAACAGAGACCAGAAAGTAGCGCAAAAAAACCAACCAAGGAAAATCACTCTTATGTATAAAAGGGCCATAGTCCTGCAGGAGTCACAAACGTTGATCATAATGGATGGATTTGTTTGTAAATAAAATCTCCTAATACAATGTCTTCCACAACTCAGATATAACTTACCTAGCCTATTTTTACGCGTTACTCTTGTAGTCAATATTTATTTTAATCTGAAGGGCATTCATATAAAAATGAAAGTAGGAGGTAATAGAATAATTATATACATTCATTTTTTATAAACATTAGGTTGAAGTCCTAGGCTCAGCAGCAGAAGTAACCGGCCAGGGTGTTGCTACATTACTTCTGAAGAATATACTGGACAACGCGCTGGAGGTGCGACACCCAGTCGTACAGGTTGTGTCAACCAGCAGTTACACGTGAGTTATTTGTATTATACTACTAGCATGTGCCAGCGGCTTCGCCCGCGTTCCCATGGATAAAAAGTAGCCTATGTGTTATTCCAGACCGTAACCTACCCTTGTGCCAAATTTCAGCCAGATCCCTTCACCGGTTTTGACGTGATTGACTAACAAACATACATACAAAAATACACATTATTAAACTTTCATATTCTCTTCATTACCGTTCTAATAATGTTGTAAACGAGGTTGTGAATGTTGGAAACGAGTGATTTATTATATGTAAAACGGGTATCTTTTACATCTGCAACAAGTCGGAGGTGAATGTGCTGCACCGTCCTTTAAACCTTTAGTCACCTCTCAGTGGTCCCCTAAGCCGCCCGTCCATCTTAAGGATTATAACAAAATGTTGTCCAGTCGTAGACGTTTTGAGACTGTTATATGATGGATTTATTATAATTTTACAGGTCTAAAATCTGTGAAAGATGTGGTATGAAACTAGAGTGGTCCATGGATTACAAAGACTTCACAGACGAGTGTGGTCGCATCATATTCTACCCCAGACGACCTCATCATTCAGTGGGTGTCTACGTCAAATTCAATGATCCAAGTAAAGGCGGTGTAATGCCATGCAAACCTCAATACTAAACGATTTTGAACTCTGCAAACTATTGTGTCGAATTTTAATTCCGTCTCGTGATTTCAATTAATTTATTATATTTGACAGTGTCAGTTATCAATCCCTGTGAAAACTATTCGTTTTTTAATTCACTTAATATTTTTTACCAAATACTTGAAATTAAAACAAGGCACAAAAATATGCGTTTCTTTTAATAAAAACAATACAAAAATATGGTAGTTACAGTATATCTAACAGTAATAAATATTACGATAACTGCACTTAATTACTAAATACTAGTATATCTTACTGAAGGCTATATTACTATTTTGGTTCAATATTTATAATTATATAGTTACGCACGTCTTTTGCTGACACATAAGTAGTAAGTAAGTAAAAATAATGAATTCGTAGTAATTATATCTTCAGAGTTTATCTCAATCGACATCTTTCACTTATCTTGTAATTATGACAAAGTAATTCCCGTCTTGTTAAAGTAAATGGTGTAAATCTTTATCATATACAACAAATATCATATAGGTAGTAATACATCATATAGGTCAATCAACTGCATAGTACAATACCCAAGTACTTACACAAATTGCAATTCACCTTTAGATACTTAGGTATAGATACTTACCTATATATCAACGGTAGATTCTTTTTCAACAAAAACAGACCATGACATTGACGAAACAAAGGTTCACCTACTTATGTAATCTTGTATGACGATTGAATTAATAAAAATACGAATCACCAAACAATAACTAATGAGGTCATAAAAATTAAATTACACAAACGAACAAAAAGTCTTGTTTGAATAGATACGTGCGATTTGATACGCTTTACGAAATTCAATGTTTTTGTTGCAGTCAGTACTTTGATAGAAGTGTGTTTTAAAATTGTCTAACCTAAATAGTGAAAGAAGATTTCTAAAAAGAAGAAAGATTTTAACAAAACGGAGAAGAATAAAGCAAGGCAATAAATGGTATAGATGACAATGAATACAATGTTGTACAGATAAGATACAGTGCTATGTATGAGTAAAAATATTCTATAGAGGTAGCTAATAATGATACTAATAATAGTAAAATTTAAAAGAAGAATGACAAAAAAAAATAACAAGAAACTGAGTATGATATAAACGTATCAAAGTCACGTCCCTAAACGTTTTTAGAAATTGGGATATAATCGATTTAGCAGAACGAAAGCAATAATTATAATGTAAACGAAGAAATTATTCCCGCTTCACTGAACCGGATAGAAGATTCTGGAAGCGAACTATAATAAATCTACAACAAATAAACAAATACTGTTAGTCTTAAGAACTCTTAGTGCTGACTGCAACTCATGACATACTTTTCGGGTCAATTGAATTTTTCATTAATGACAACAATTATGCGATTGTTCACAAACCATGAAAGTAATTAACTATCGAATTACATCATGAAATCAAACAAGCAATCAATCAACAAATCAATAATCACAATAACTTCTTTAAATTAGATGTAATATATTGCAATGGTATTAGTAATGATTACATTGGGTAGTTTATTTTTGTTGAATATCTTCGATTTACTTCATTATCGTTTCGTTACAATTCTTTTGATAGTATTCTAACTACTCCTTCTCAATTCTAAACATACCACTAACCAGCTTAATCAGCAACCTTGCTTCAAAATACTCGTAGCAACGACATCGAACCTCTAAACTTATCAAATAAAAACATACTATAAACCAACGTCTCTAAATGGCATATACTGCAACAGAATCCCAGAGGAAGTTGCCTCTTAACACCTAAGATATAGGATCTAGTTTTTCTTGTAGCTCCAGTGAGATCCTCCTTCCTTCCCACCTTTCCTACCGTGATCTGCATGTTTCTCGTGATGTTCTTCATGACCATGTTTTCCATTGTATCCTTTGTGGTCGGCATCAACGTGACCCTTGTTGCTGGAATAATAAATAATTATTATTAAAATTATCATCAAAGAACTTTTCCTTTCAGTTCTGTAATATTAGATTTCACCACCCTGGTGAGGAATTTAGGAAAAAATCAAAGAGCGTCAAACAAATTTTCAGCGACAGCTATAAATAAATCCATTAGCCCATTAACTGGTTCAAGAGCAATCCTGGTTGATTGGATAACTAGGAAGCCATGACACCTAGTATGCAGACGGACGGATATGCAGCATCCTCTAGTATGTTCTATAAATATCTTTTATATGCTTCCTACAATTCACGTGTCTAGTTTGTTTATCATTGAATGAAACTATCCTTGCCAGTGATATCACTACAAATAGTACAAGATACCAACCTGTATCCCTTCTTTCCTTTCTCAACGAAGTCATGTCCAGCATTGACGTGATGAGCCTTCTTCTTGCCACTCTCGTTGCTGGCGTGTTTGGCATTGAACTTGCCGAATCTGTGGTGTTCACCACTCTTGTGGAAGTCGTCGTAGAACTTGTGTTCCTTGTGGAATTCATCCTTGTGGTACTTGTTGTGGTAACCTGGAAATTCGGAACGTTGTTTAAGGAACAAGTATCGTTGTCTATCTTGTTAAAAAAATTCAGTCACTTGACAACATTTATTTTAAATACAAAATTCTGAACTCTACGTAACAAGACGCCAAGTAATGTAACATTTCCTTATGAACAACGGTAAAGTTACGACAACCTGTAACAAGTAATGTTACAACAATGAATAGATTTTATAAAGGATTACATTCAAAGTCGTGACGCTCCACATTTTGGGCTACATTTTTTGTCATACAATATTTCTGAAATGAGCGTGAAGTCAAATTAAATAGAACTTTAGTCACGTACACTTGCAACGAATGCTCTCAATCTTGATTATGACAGTGAAAAGGACTTTGAAGTGCAAACTCGTGAGTAATTCTTTGTGAACGAATCAATGGAAAACCGTAGTATTGCGGTTGAGGTCAAATCAAATTGAATTCAAATAACAAATAACTTTACGTAACTTGGCTTTCACTTGCCGCAAATTGTTACATTTTCTATTATAATAGACAGAACTACTTTGCCTATGTTCAAACTATTGTCTTGTGTTCTAAATACACTCGTGTGCCGAATGTAGGTAACATTACCTAATTATTACATGTTTGTTTTTTATTTGCATTCTTCTTCCATTTTCTTTATTTATTTTTAAGTAACTACAATAACTTGCTCTGATTTCAGAAGTTACATAAATGGCCGGAATTGTTTCTGTGACTGACAGGCATTTGGAATTGATTATCGGAATGCAGTGTAGCTTTACTTTTTATTCTTATTACACTGAATTGGTATCGTTCAATATCTTTTCGACATCTACAACTATAATATAATCATTATAATTATGAGCATGAAGACTTACAATGATGGAATTAAGTTTTTGCCACAATTCACTTAAGGTATATTTTTAAATTAACTTACCCTTGGTCTTATGTCCTTTCTTGTGTCCCTTCTTCTCATCAAACTTAGCTCCTCTGTGTCCAAATGCTTCTTCTTCGTGGCTGCCCTTATGTCCAGCATGGTCGTGATGCTTTTTCTTCTTACCGGCGGCTTCTTCGTATTGTTTCTTATGGTGTTCATCTGTCTTGAAGCCTTTACCTCCCTTATCTAAATGATGGTCTTGGTGATAGCCTTTGGAAGTCTGTAATAATAAACATTAACGTTTTTTTAAGGTGTAGAAATTTTAGTTTTTCGTTATTTGTATTTTAAGTTGTACATATTTATTCATACTTAAGTTATTTAATTTTATCTACTAATATTAAATTGTATTATATGTCTATAGATTCTTGTGTTGACTGTATGGAAAATAAAAATTAACGTTTGACTTTATCTAGGTACATACTTATAGTGATTTCAGTTAAAAGAAAATTCACGACCTGTGTTTCTCGAAGAGACAGTCAGAGATAAGTGTAGGGTTCATGGAATATGGGCAATAATAATATCTTATAAAGAGTGCAACTCCAGGCATCGTCGATATATTAAGAACCAAAATAATATGTATCTTAAAACCCAACTACTGAGCTTAGGTAAGCACCAAACATTGAAATGTATCAAATTTAATGTAAATACATACTTTAAAATATTCAATTGTTTAGTAATGATAATCAAGATGTTTAGTTTCAAAAGTATTGTTATGTTATTGTCACGTGTCTGACTTATATTATTGCATCCAATAAAACATTTGGTAGGTAATTTTAAAAGACAACACATTTATATTACTCTAAGATTAACTAGAGTGTTCTAATTTTACTCAGTTTCAAAGGACAAACTGAGATTACTGTTTCATATATCGGTTACACACAGATCAATACGCACGGCATAATGTTGTGGTTGGAAGTTACCGACCGTCACATTGTAAGGTCAAAGACCTGTTTTCGTGTGGATATTCATTATGGTGCCAAAAGCTTAATATCTTGTTTGCGTAATTATCGCCTCTTATTCTCATAATATAAAGGTCGAGCCTATTCCTTGTCACATACGGGGATCACCCGGTTGTCGTATTACCTATTGCGTATTTTAAATTTTGAAAAACTTACTTTCCCGTCCCAGGACCTAAACTCGAAACTCAAAAATTTTAATTTTATTAGGCAGTTTTTGATTAATTAGTTAATAAGTTTCCACACGAATGTCTGTGAAGTAATATTCTTCAATTAAATTGGTTGGTTTATTTTATTAGGCGTTTCACTATTTTTATGACTCTGTTTCATTACATTATTTGGTTAATGAACGATTTCGCTTTGGTCCTTTATTAGAGTAATAAACTATTATGTAATCAAAGAAGTTTCCTACCTTGCCTCCATGTTCAGCAAAATGTCCTCCATGTTTGGCATGCCCACCTCCCTGAGAATGTCCGTGAGCATGCTTTGAGTGATGGTGTCCAGTTGATGCACCATACAAGTCACCTGAAGCCAACTGCTTCGGAGCCTGGATCAATGGTTCAGAAGACACCGGCACTGGGATGGGATTATCCACGGGAATAGGGTTTGAAGCCAAAGGAACAGGGCCTGGAGGACTAGCGATAAACTGAACTGGCTGAGACTGCACTGCTTCTACCGGGGCGACATTCGCCGCTTCAGCAATGTTAGCACTGTTCACATCAGGTCGCAAGTACCGAGGACTCGGGGCGTACACTTTATGGTAGTGGTTCGCACTCGCGGCGAGCATCTCTTCATAGGGCGGGGATTCCATCTCCCCATCATCTGTGAATTCGTGGACCTCATACTGGTGGAGCTGACGAGGCACCCGCACGTACTCCGCAGCTCTGCGAGTTCTCGGCTCACAACACCGCTTCACCCGAACATGTTCCTCAAAAGGCCCTGCATCATGAACATCGCGTCTGCTCCTGGACGGCTCGTAGTCATCATATGAGTCGTCTACATCCTCTTCCTCCACCCAGGGCTCTTCCGCAACCTCAGCTGCGGCGATTGCCAGCAACACCAGGATGACCACTGGTCGCATCTCGTACTTTAAATGATGTAGAACTGATTTATTTTTTTGTTTTATACTTGTGAACCTTTCACCGTTGACTAACAAAGGATCTTGCTAAATACAGTTGCGTTGATGTCAGCTTTTTATACAAGACAGTAGGTAAATGTTTGTTGTGTACGGACGGCCGGGCGCGCGGTACGGTCAGCACTGATGGCAGACGCAGCCACCACCTAGAAAGCGTATAACGACACGGAGCAAATTAGTTTTCCCGGTGCATTATTTTAGCGATTTTTCGACCGCAGTGAAAACAGCGACCGTGAATTGAATTAAACTTTTTCTAACGGTCCGGCCGTGAGATCTGGTTGCGTAAGCAATAACAGGAGGAACTAAATGATTTGTATGCGTGAACTTTGACAGACGATATAACTTGATAGCAGGTAGCTATCAAGGTAGCATTATAAACAATTTCCGAGCTGCCCCACTTGCAGGAAACACTAAATTCTCTGTAAAATAATGATATAATGATGAAAGATTATGATAATGACAGAGATAGAAAAATAAGGCAAATAATGTTTAGGATGTTTTTCATTTGAATTCCAAAATACTAAGAAAGCATTGATTAAAACTCTCTCGAAAGAAGCAGGTTATAATATAATTATCATCGATTAGATGCGGTTATTATGATTATAATGATCAGATTTTTTGTGGATGTAAATTCACAAAAAAGCAGTTCATTATAATTCTGATCAGAATTACTATCTAACGTTAAGACATAATAATGTTTTAACGTTTAATTGAAATTACTTTACAATTAGTCAAACAGCTTGATTTGCGTGTAATTAGTGTTCCTTGAATAAATAAACAAAAGAAATGCGTGGACGCATTTACATGAATCACACAAATGTCGGGACAATAAACGGTTATCTTTTAAATTAAATATTGTCTACTTTTAGACGTCAATGGTGATAAACACGGATTTACTAATCAACAAGCTAAAGAACTTTAATTAAATGTTGCGGCAACACTAATTAGTGACTAAGGAATGTTTATATTTGCATTGAAACTTACTTTCACTACCTAGGCGCCTTTAATTTATTGATGCAATGCACGTAGCGCTTTTAAACTCTTTGATTGATAATAATTGTCTGTTCTTCATAATAAATTAGTGATATATGACAATTGAGTGTGAATCATACCAGAGTTTTTATGGTGATCGTTGATTTATTGTTTAAGATAGTGAAGGATATGATTTTAACATGGTAAGTGATCAAAATAATTATGATAGATAAGATAGTCGTAAAGGGAATTGCATGATTTTCGAATTATACTCCTATAAAGAGGTCAAAGCAAGAAATTGTATGAATACTCTTTATAACCCAGTTTAACATCACACTTTTCCTTTTGGAACAATTAATCATCTAGTACTTGTAGGACACCTGTTTGCTAGTTACGAAGACCTTAGTAATTCTGCAATATTTTCACAATTACAGCAATATTTATTAATAAAAACTGTATAGAGTTAACTTCGACCTCAACACACAAAGTTGAGATGTTATCCAGTCAGTGGTTCCGTAACTCAGCCTCTCCTTGACCAAGATGGTGGCTGAATGCTGCAACCACTGCACTTTTTATACACTTCAACTATTGCCATTATTACTATTGATTGGCGTGCGTTCCTTCGTATTTACGAATTGTACTTAGATTTGGATAATAGTATTTTCAGAGTCCTAACGTATTTTAAGATGTCTCGAAGTTCCTCGTTGGTTGTATAGTTACAAGCAAAGCTGGTTCCTTCCTGGGTCATACAAACCGGCAACGCATTTTTAGGTTTCCAATTTTCAACATATTCAGGACCAACCTTAACTCTGAACGCTCCATATATTTCGAAACTCACCATACTTCCACTACCTACTATTTTATTGAAGTCATACTCTGTTTATACGTTTCTATAAAATAGTTCAAAATTTATTTCATCTAATAGAAATATCGGGGCTACACTGGGTTGGGCCGTAACAGACACACGTGGGTTTTCCATAAATATATTTTTGGCTCATTTTCAATTTTCCACTACAGTAAACGTCGTTAAAGGGTCAAGGGCTATTCACCAGACTTTTTTTAGGTAACTCACTAAAATAACCAGTCTCTGATTCGCATACCTAATTCAATTAAAACTAATAGCTCCCCAGAAAACCCGAGAAATGAGTACCTACATTGTCATTTAACATTTTCGTTTACTCGCAATAAAGAAAGCAAATGCAATCGTTACGTCACCATTCAAATAAGTGCACATTGCGCAAAATGTTCTCATTTAGTATGTATACAAAATTAATGTCAAATTAAATTTCTATTTTATTTATTTCATTGTCAAGTTTGCCAACCAATCTTTCGTTGGCAAACAATAGAAGTACCTGTTCATAATTGTTAAAAGATACTAAAATCTTTAGTTTCTTTGTTCATAGCTCGCCTAGTATTCGTTTCGGAAGGAAAAGTTGGTACTTACTTAGTTTTATTGTTGACACAACCATCAATTAGTAGATAGTAAAATAAGTTTTGATTAACGGTTTCCGATAGTTAAACAAGTTTTTTTTTTTGTGGAATTGGTTCATTTTTAGATGTTCAGAACTAAAGCAATAGTTAGGCAGTAATGTAAACTCATAGACTAGGTAATAAAGTTGTCGTTTCATAATACTTTTTTTCATGAAATAAAAAGAAAGGTATCACGCAAAAGAAAACCACAACATATTCGTCAGTAATTTATTTCACCGTGTTAGTAAACAAATTGATACATCTAAAGCAACAGAGTGCGATATTTATGTTATTCGTAATATCGTCCAACTAACTACGTCCTTAGTCAACTATTTACAAGTATCATACACTTACATCTAATTCTTATTGACATGTCCAATACATCTGCATAAATCAATTCACCTGCTGCGTCAGTACCAATTGAAGCAGATCCCGAATCTGGGACAACGATAAATGTTGTTTAATGTACAATTCAAATTAAAGAATAATTTCATCATTTTATATTTGATTTTAAACAATTACGAAAAAATTAAACTATAACTGTGATTGTAAACATTTTTTAATCATCGCGACTATAAAAACAGAGCGCTGTTAGTGACAGTAAAAAATAATTGCTCATTGTGCAATGTAGACTAGGTATCGTCGTTGCAAAAAAACATATCGTAAAAGGAACAAGATAACAACTGATTTTCACGAACTAATATAATAATTACTACTTCTGTACGTCTTACATTTAGTAAATATGGCACAAATATTATCGAATATCGACTAATAATAACTTTTCAAAAGTCTTTTATTTTTCGTTAAAAAATACTGTGTACAGCGATACATATTGATTGTGTTACATAAATAACTGTTCACTGTTAAAATGAAGGGAAATACTACTAAAAAGAAACTTTATTTCATTCATGGTTTATGAGAACAAAGTTTGACAATTATTATGTAACACAAAAAATTGTTCACCAATCAAAGTCTAACTTACAAAACTAATTAATAAGTCTTTATCAAATGGTCTGACACAAATGGTGTGAACTCGGGATCTTTAATTTTCTTCTTCTTGTGTAATGGACAACTTTTCTGCCTTTGTCCTGTTTCCGATTTGTTGTGTGTCAGTTTATAATGACTGGATAATGACACGCTTTTCTTTCTATGTTCAGCTTTTTGGCAATTATTTTTATCTACATTTCTTCCAGCGCCGTTAGCACTCGTACCACTGTGCAGTGTGTTTTGTCCTAATATTCTAGAATCTACTTGGTTTTGTTTTAATTTGTTCGTGTAGTGTGCTGACACTTCTAGCTGGCTGTGATGCAAACACGTTGATGTAATCTGAAATTATACGGATACAATTAGTCTGCATTATAAAGAAATATGTCGAATTGTAAGTGCACAATATAGTTAATTATGTTACAGCTCTGTTCGACAACAATAAAACTCTTTTTAACCGACTTCAAAAAAGGAGGTTGTCAGTTTACCTGTATGTATGTATGTATGTTTGTACACGACTATATCGCGATTGCCTGAACCGATTTTAATGTGGTTTTCAAAAAAGTGTTAGTTATTAAACCGACTTTATAAAAGGTTGAAGTCGTTTATTTTAAACGTAGTTTGTAAAATAATTATTCGTGTTCTCAATCATAACCAAATGAAATTAAGTTTAGTAATAAAACAGTTGTAGTACTTACTGGGGAGGGCTGATGTCTGGGCCTCGCATAAAGTGCAGCCCGCTCGGCTAACTCACTGCGCAGCCGCCAGGCACGTGCTGCTAGAAGCCGTCGACTGGCTGGCTGACCATCACCGCGGACACCATGCCATCTAGAACCAACAGTCAAGAGATAATAGCAATGATTTTAAATAGAGTTTACTTTTACGGACATTAAAAGAAAACGGAATGTCGATTGTAAGAAAAATATTGTTTTTTGACAAAACTAAAAACTACTCAGAGAATCCGAATATTCTGATAGTTTTAAGTGCCGCATTAAGTAGATAAGTTGTTGATTTGAATAAGCAGGCACTGAGAACGCAAGTGGACGTCGTGTTGGATTATAAATTATATCTGCGTTATGATAACGATAAAGGTTTAGTCATTACATATAAATTATTTCATTTGATTTAATTACCTGACGAGGAGTTGCAGCACCCTGCTGTACTGGCCCACGGACCGTAGAACAAGGCAGGCGGCACGAAGTGACACCACCTCGCCACGTGCACTGCCGTGTGCCGAGCTGAACGAGAGGCGCATGGCGCGCGTGTAGTACTGTAGGGCTAGTGGTTGGAGACCTACAATGCAATGTTCACATGGATAAATATCGGATTCATAATTTATGTCTTCAGTATGGAAAATCCCACTTGGTTTTTTTTATAGCATAAGCCGGTAAACGAGCAGACGGATCACCTGATGGTAAGCAATCTTCGCTGCCCATGGATGCCTAAAACATTAGAGGCGTGCCAAGTGCGTTACCGGCTTTTAGGGAATTGGGAATTCAAATTTTACTTATCCAAAGGTCTCCCATATTCTTATCCTGCGATCATTGCAAATACTAAAACAAAGGTAGCTAAAATATGAAAATAGTCTTAAGATAAGTCAATTTGTAATCTCTTAAACACATGTTTAAGGTTTACTCGCATACGTTTTCATTTAATGTAGAAGAACTCACTTAAGAAACAAATGAGATTCGACAATCACTTCGCGTGAAAATGGATTAAATGAACTACAAAGTCATTACAGAAATGGGGTCTCTCACCTCTATCTTTGTACCAGTTGCCATAAAGTAGGTAGTGCTCCCAATTTTTTGGCTCCAACTCCAGTAGTTTGTCAAGAACTCCTCTCTTCTCATTTTCTGGTTTAAGCAGTAAGAGTTCAAGATATGCCTGAACAAACCTTGGTTCTAAAGATATACAGCGTTCCAACATCTTTAGAGATTCTGATATTCGATTTTTCTTTCTGGAAAATAGAAATTATATGGATAAATTACGATGTCTCTCGTCTTTGGTCATAATTCCAATTAATGGGGTAAGGTATAACATACCTGTACAATTTGGCAAGATTATAATGGGCATTGACGTGATCCCTGTTATATTTGAGAGCTTGCAAGAAATGGTGTTCAGCTCGACCTGACGCCAGCACCAATGTGCCCAGGTTGTTGTGAGCACTCGCGTAGCTTGGCCAGAGCCTGGAATATTAAGAACATTTTTCAAACACGACAAATAGAATACATTTATTATGAGACTGAACAGATTTGGTAAAACATTCGTATACTCCGTAATAAGGCAGGGTATTGGCTTATGATTGGATTATTATCTTTGTCAATAAAGTTTCCTTAGTTCTATGAGTTAGTACTCACTTTAAAGCTTCCTTATAGTGTTTGATGGCGTTCTCTTGTTGTTCAATGTCCTTCAGAAAGTTTGCAAAGTTGTAATGTAACTTAGCATTGTGCGGTAATACTGATAAGTCCGCTCTGAAATAAAAAGGATAAATCTTAAATTAGTTAGAGAGAATCTGTAGTGGATATCTCATTACTAAAAGACTTGTAGTAGAATCTACTTAGAAATGGTTGAAAGTTTGTGCTTACTGGACTTTATGAACAAAATAGGATCGTATTTACCTACTGGTTCCTATTTAATTTTTTTTTTTTTTTTTATGGAATTGGAGGCAAACGAGCAGACGGTTCACCTGATGGTAAGCGATCAGCGCCGCCCATGGACACCCGCAACACCAGAAGAGTCACAGGTGCGTTGCCGGCCTTTCTTGAAGGTTTGAAGGTCGTATCGGTTCGGAAATACCGCCGACGACAGATCATTCCACAGTTTTGCTGTGCGAGGCAGGAAGCTACGTGAGAACCGCACAGTTGTGGCCTGCCAACCATCTATTTGATGGGGATGCATATGCTGTCGTGAGGGTCGATGGCGAAAAGATGCGGCAGGTATCAGGTCAAACAATTCCTCAGAGCACTCCCCGTGGTATAAGCGGTAGAAAATGCACAATGAAGCTACATCTCTACGCATTGCCAAAGTGTCGAGCCGGTTTGAAACACCCGGACATCCAACAATCCGAACGGCACGCCGCTGAATGCGGTCCAGAGGACGAAGCTGGTACTGGGGTGCCCCCGCCCAAAGATGAGAACAGTATTTCATGTGGGGCCGCACCTGTGCCTTATATAGAAGCAGGCGGTGGGCCGGGGTGAAATACTGCCTCGATCTATTGAGCACACCAAGCTTCCTCGAGGCTAATTTGGCCTTATCCTCTAAATGACCGCAAAACTGGACGTCGCTCGAAATGTTGACACCAAGTATTCCAATACCGGCTGAGGCAGTTAGGGGGGTGCTTTGAAAATGAGGAGAGACGACCAACGGCAGTTTCTTAGCGGTAAACACGCAGACTTGTGTCTTAGTGGGGTTAAACTGGACCAAATTAAGTCCACCCCAATCAGAGATTCTCCCTAAAGAGGTCTCGATTTCAGACACGAGTCTGTTTCGGCTCTCTATGACGTTTTCCCGAGAAATGTTACGCGGCCGGTGTAGTAGGCATCGCCTGTGCTGTCATCCGCATAACAATGAATGCCGCTGATTTGCAGCATGTCATTGATATGGAGGAGGAACAATGTAGGCGATAGCATGCAGCCTTGAGGGACACCTGCGTTTACAGACATCAAGTCAGAGCATTCACCGTCGACGACGACTTTAATGCTTCTGTCTGCAAGGAAGCAGGAGACCCATTTGCATAATTTCTCAGGAAGTCCGTAGGAAGGAAGCTTCGAAAGAAGCGCTCTATGCCAAACCCGATCGAAGGCCTTCGCCACGTCTAAACTTACTGCCAACGCTTCCCCCTTAGACTCGATCGCCTGTGCCCACCGATGCGTTAGGTAAACAAGAAGATCACCAGCAGACCGCCCTTTACGAAAACCGTATTGCTGGTCACTGAGCAGCTGATGATCCTCTAAGTAACGCAGGAGCTGGCAGTTAATAATGGACTCCATTATTTTCGAGAAGAGGGAAGTTATGGCTATCGGTCTGTAGTTAGACGGGTTAGATCGGTCACCTTTTTTATGATTAATTAATTTTTTATTTAGACTCTGACCTTAACAAAGTTTCTCTAGTCCTCCAGTCTCTATTCCTAAGATGTGTCCGGGCAACTCCTCCTGCCACCAGCACTGCAACTCCGAGGATCAGGAGTCTGCTGCCAGAACTTCGTCGCCACATCATCTGGACACCGTACACCGTGATGATCACTGAGCCCACACTGGAATCAAACAAAATAAAGATGGTTGATTAAAAAATACATAAAATTTTGCCAAAGTTAAGCGTTTATTTACAGTTGCCGTAGTCAGAGCAATGTTGAAATTTTTCAAATTCCATAAATCTTAAGAGACTGAAACTATACCATTGATATCAACTTTATTGGGCCGTAGAATGTAAATGGCAGGTATTTCATGTATAATACTGAATCAGCGTAATTTCAATGCCAACCTTTTGTACTGAGAGAATAGAAAGATATTTTACATTTGAAGTTTGATCACTGATAGTTAAAAGAAAGTCTCATACCTGGGTATGTACAGCACTCTCTCAGCGACCACGAAACCGACGGTGACAAGTAAATTAGAAGCAGGCAGGTAAGGTATCACCAACATCATCAACCCTACTACTGCAGGTGCGTGTCGTTGTAACTGAAAAACAAAGATACCAGTTTAAGTTTAGCTTATAGTAATTTAGTGTCAAGTAAAGGTATTCTGTGTCACAAGTACCAAATAAAATAATTTTATGCTTTCGCACTAAGTTTGTACTGGTGCATACAGATGCTCATCGCAATCTTATGTTGATGATGACGAGTGTCTAGTATCTGGTATACTGTTGATGAGACTGATACCATTAAAAAATCCATGTTAAGTTAAAACCGTACCTCCAAATCAACTAGAAATCTGTAGGAAAGTGCCAGTAATGCAATGAAGGCCGCGCAGGTGAGCAAGTTCCTCGGGTCCCAGCCACTGGTGATGAGAGGCACTGAGCCCATCTGCCAGTCGTGGCTGAGGGTCCACGGACAGAGTAACAGCCACCAGTTGAATGCTGCCAGGTAACAGAAAGTCATCAACCTGGAAACATAGATAAAACATTATGAGGATACAATTGAGCATTTAAAAAATTAGACCTGCAATAATTATGTAAGAATCAAATCTTTGGTTGATAGTATTCCTAGTGTCCAATAGATTCGAAATAATGTTATGTAATACCAGCAGATTGAACCTGAGGTCTGGTGTTGGGAAGAAGCTATTACTGTAAATTATCTTTAGATATTATTATCTCATTGCTACGGATATGACTTACTAGCCATGAATTTTATGTAGGCATTTTTTATATTTGATGTTTGACCACTATCTTGCCTGGTGGTAAGCAATGATGCAGTCTCCGATGGAGCACGTCGAACCATAAGCAACCCATTCACACTATGTTATACCCTTCAGGAAACAGGTACATCATCTGACGACGTAATATGATCACTAAACTGTCTATTAAACAATACAATGCCTGTAGAAAGTTGACTTAAGACCTCACCTGACGCTAAACGATGGATGGAAAGCAGGAGGGTTGTCCTGTGGTGAGAATGCAGGGAGAGATCCTTGCAGCAGCGCGAGCCTTACTCCGGCCAGCAGGATCAATGCGGCCAGTGCTCGAATCACTCGCCCGTAAAAACTGTCGGTGCGCCATCGCCATTTTATTGATGGTGAGAACCTGGAATTGATGAAATTACAAATGAATAAACTGAAATATTAATTGTAGTATGACAAATGAAAACTAGGCAAGTGCACTCGGGTCACGGCATTTAAGCTGAGCTCTGGCCTTATTGCGACATCTTCACTATTTTTTTTTTGTTTGTTATTGTACTTTGTGACGGTGTGCAAATAAACAATTTATCTTTCTTCTTTCTTTCTTCTGAAGAAAACATTTATCTTATAAACAAAATTTGTATATCAAAAACAAACTTTTCGACGAGGTAACTGGACTATAGTACCTAGTATTTTGTGACTATGAGGTACCATGCAAGGCAAGGAAGTTACGTGAATAAATCGTACAATAGTTAAATATAAAAAAAACATTTTAGTTATTTAGTCGTAAACCAACTGCAACAGGTTACCTGTTAGACGTCCAACAGCGGTACAAATCGAAGGCTACATTGAACAATAGCGCGGTTAGTCCTGTCTCCTTGGCCAGCATACTGAGCGCTGCCAGTGCCACGCTCGACCACACTCTGTGACGACCTGATGATCTGTAATGTTCGTAAACGTGGGTTTAATTTTAAATTGGTTTAATGTGTTTCATACACAGCCTACAGCACATCTTTATTATACTTTAATTCATACACTGATCTCTAAATTTCTCCAAATTTATGTGAAGCGATAAATTAAACACATACATAACGAAACTGTATCGACTTTTTAATACAACCTGACCTAATTAAATATTCATTACACGGGGATTCAATCTGGGTGAATGTTTGTTTTACGTACACAGCCTTAATAAATGACCAAACCTCGTACCTACATTAGGTACATAGGTACCGTGTTAATATTAGCTCATCTACATACATAGGTAATACATGATTGAACCGGCTTAGTATGTAATACGATTTTATTGCTCGTTCTTATCTATAGAAATCTTTTTTATAGACATTTGATGGGCTGACGTTTGACCACTATCTCGCCTGGTGGGCATGGTGGTAAGCGGTATTCGTTTACATTTTAGAGCGAAACAACATCTTCTCACTAGCAAATTCTGCAGTTTAAGTTTTAAATACAATCTCTTTAGTGTGACATGGACACGATTTTGACCCTTAAAGTGCCACGTCAGTCACGGGTGCCTGAGGCTAGTGGAGGTTTGACTTTCACCAGAGTTCTAAATTATTTAACTTTCTTTCTGAATATCAGTTTTATAGAAGAACTGTCAACTTACCCATGATATAATAGAACGGATGAGAGGAAGAAAAGGCACGCCAGCACATCAGCTCTGCCCACCACTCCAGCGACCTGGAAACAAAAGGAAACTTATTTGAAAACTGATTTCAAATTTTAAAAAATAGTTTATTACTATAGGAGTCATGTTTTGAGTGGCTTGTAATAGAAATGTGCAGCTGTATATTTGTTGAACAGGAACATAACATGTTTCTAGAAATTACTGACAAAAGACACGAGCAAGCATTTTACATAACTGCGTTCAGAAATCTCAAGATGTGTGTCTTGAACCAAGGATGCTGCCATGGCCACCCAGAGTTTTCCTCTCTCGACCAATTTCCTCCCCACTGAACATGTTTAAATTTCCATCCAGCTTAATTGGAAACAGGGAGGGGGAGAGACGGAAAGTATACATCGTAACATAATTTAAAATTAAAATATCCGTAATTAATTCTTCCAAACCATTGCGTTAATCACTCACATTGATTGTTAACGGTTCATTAAATAGATTTCAAAAATTAAACTCATTTTAGGAACGGAAAATTTAATCGTATTTTTCATGTACAACGCAGTTTTCCGCAAACGTAAGTCAATTACGTGGTAGAAAGTCTTTCCTAAAGATGTTATCTCGTCTTCTAAATATCTGGGGGTCTAATCTTTGTCACATTAGGTCTGTATCAAGTAATTAAGGGGCTTCTAACTTCATTAGGTGCCCATTTATTCGTTTTAAACGGGAGTGCTTCCTCTTAAGTGTCCATTACGTGTATAATCGAAATGGTGCACGTCTTAAGTGCGTGGTCCAAGTGATGAGACTGGAGCGAGTGGAGAGGCACTAATGTCGTTTAAGTTGAAAGCTAATGCTCATCGAAGCAATTCCCTTCTTGCACGAAAAGGCTTTCTTGATTGGCCAATTTGCTTAGATATGACAAAATGTGTATGCTATCAGTATTTTAAAGATTACATTACTAAATTTATCAGGACTGTTGGTCTAGGTATTAGAAGCAAATAAAATAAGGCTTAATTTGTGTAGGTATTAGGTGCTGAAAAAGTAATGTAATGTAAATAAAAACAAAGTATTTACACTTCTATTGAATCCCCTCCAGTCTCTCAATCTCAGTCTCGTTTATATAAAAAGTTTTACGATTTTGACAAGTGACCAGCTCACAACTTACACCACGCACACAAACAATATAAAAGGGCAATTTTTGAAGTAGAAACTGCGCACCAGATTGGTCTTCGTTTTAATATTTAATTAATTGACAATTAGACCCTTATCAATGAGAATTGTTATTGGAAAAGTTACGGACCTCGGGTCTACTGTGGTTCAATGATAATGTACCTATTATAAGGCCATTGTCCCGATTTACTGGCCTTCCGAGTCCTATAAAATGTTGGCCTGGAACTTTGTTGGCCTTTGTATTTTATTACATAGTTTGGTAAATGACAATATTGTAATGTGCCTAGTTAATACCACATTGGGTTGCCGCTTGTCCCGAAGGGTTGAGCTATTAGTCAGTTACAACCATTGATCATTATGTTATTTGTTTATAGGTAATTTGTTTTTAGACTTACCTACAAACCATGTGTCCTATATTTAGTTTTTCATATCTAAAATTTTTTTTAGTATAAAAATAATAAGAATTTAAAAATATATTCCTAGTTTCTATCAAGTTAGTCGCTAACAAAACATTTGTTTTAAAAGCAAATTATCTCAAAACTACTTATATTATATGAAAAGAAATACATATGATGGAATCCCGGATGAAAATTCCCGATGAGATGATAATTTTCGAATGTTCACAGATAATATTAGTCACGGCTAATATACCCGGACACATGGCACTTCCTATCTTTTCTACAGCTCATTAACTTTGCTACGTCACAATTAACTGCCAGCCGGACCCTTCATCTTATTAGAAAAAGGTAAAAAATGGTATAAAATGAAGGTATTATCACTGGAATAGGGCAGTACCTATGTTAAGGTAAAGAATAATCATCCTCAAGAACTCGAATCAGTACATTTTTTTTTTCTTTTTAAAAAACTTTGCCCCACGTCGTGGGTGCTTTTACAAACATACAAGTTCACATACACATCACACCCAGACCCGGAACAACCATCTGTGGATCACACAAAGAGTTGTTCCGTGCGGGAATATAACCCGCGACACGTTGCGCGGCAGCCAGTTGCCCAACCACCGCGCCAACCGTGCAGTCATGCACACTGTTGGGGTCGGTATCATGTCTATAGTGAAAATAAAAGATAGATCTAATATACCTACTTCTAATTTTCGGCGGTCTAGAATTACGCTCTCTTATTTTTATTATTATTCAAATGCGGAATATTAAAGTACCAATGATGCTTTCCTCGTCTTAAATTCAATCCACTATAAAACACTAAGCAGATACTTATCATTAAAAGAAAAAAATCAAGGATATTGGTGACCGTTTTAAAAGAAACGCGGTACTAATAATACATAAATAATTAATGAAAACGTTAACACACGAATACATACAAATGCACATAAATCCACACACACACATACTTATTACCATATAATTAGTCACACCAACCCACAACCCATTAGCATTAAAATTGTAAAAAAACACAAACAAACAGAATGCTTGACGGTGAAATTAATTCATTCGGCCGACTGTACTAATTAATTCAGCAGCCAACTGTACCAGAGGCGACACCAATTATTTTCACACCGACAACTCTCGCAGCAATTTGTACATAATTAATTAATACCCCTTTTGTACTGGTATTCTATCTATATCACTATAATACCATATACTATATGCCCTATTGAAAATATTTCGAGGGAAAACGGTTATGCGTTCCCGACTATGAATAGTTCACTTCATGTGATTTTGACTATGAATAGTGCGTAGATATGGTGAATATTTTGAATATTGGTTCCACATAAAAGGTGGTATACCGTCACGTCTTCAAAGTCCGAGTGAATAGGTTGCTTATAGGACGACGTGATCGCTTATAACCGGACGAGATAGTGGTCAAACGTCATGAAATATAAAAAAAAAACAATGTCTATTTACTAAAATTTTGATAGCAACTAAAAATAGAAGACAAATATCACTTTCTGTAACTGCAACTGTGGGAGAGCCATGCTTAGGTACGAATGGACCGGCTCGACCGGAGTAATACAAAGACCTCACAGAAAACCGACGTGATACAATGCTTGCGTTGTGTTTCGCCGTGTGAGTGAGGTTACTGGAAGCTTATTTACCCCCCCACCCCTTCACCCACCTTCCCTAATCTAACCAATTCCTGAATCCCAACAATCCTCAAATTCCTAATCCCCAAAAGGCCGGTAACGCACTTGTAATGTCTCTGGTGTTCTAAGTGTCCATGGGCGACGCTGATTGCTTACCATCAGGTGATCCGTCTGCTCGTTTGCCTCCTATACCATAAAAATAAAATAGTGCCTGAATCTTTCGATATAGCAAATCACTGCAAGTACTCTTGAAAGATACGAAATGCCTATGGGCGGCTGAACGCCTAACTATATTAAAATAGCAAATGTGTACGGGAAAAAAATATTAAAACTCCATTTTAATGATACAGTATAATAGGTAGGTACTTTATATTCTATGCCTCTCTATACGAATCATAAAATCAACGAATCTATGTGTCGTTAAATTAATTAGTTTTCAAATTAAATTTTCGATATGCAGCGTTCAATTATTGTGTTCTGTAGTCAATGTTCATTACTCAAATACGTACGAACACTGATGAGAATTATGATTATCTAATTATTTTTCATTCAGTTGTAAAAGGTTAGATACACAATTATAATTATTATGGCATTTGAACATACCTACCTGTACAGATTCCTAATTATTGTTTTCACATCACACACATCAACAGCCTATAAATGCCCACTGCTGAGCAAAGCGTCTTCTCACACGGAGTAGGTTTGAGTATTATTCGCCACGCTTGCTCAATGTGGGTTGGCGATTTATTTATAAATGATTTAAACTTATAATAATTAGAAATTATAAGCATACGTTTCCTTACGCTATTTTCCTTCACCGTACATATAACTCGGAAAAAGTCACATTGGTACTTGTCGTTGGTAGGTATTGAACCCGCACCCTCATGCATGAAGCGGGCGTCTTAAACCTCCGGGCCACCACGACATTAGATCTGTACAGTAGACTGTCAAGTACCCACAGTCAATTACTGTAACTGCTTTTCATCATCATTTACTAATTCCATATATCTTTGGTAGGTTTAACAGAGAAAGAGGCCTACAGAATATCTTCGAGATGCAAGAATGAAACATTCATAGAAACAAAATTAATAGCAAAAGAAAAAGAGCTTTGAAATAAATTGCATAGGGTAACTTTTCGAATTAAAGGCTTGCTCCTCCGGTGTGCAATCAGAGATGTAATAGGAAAAGTTGTGGAGATTATTGCCTTCCAATATCTTATGTTACGTGGTAACTTTACTGCCTTCGTGGAGAGCCACAGGTTATGTGACGTCATAACAACTCGGATATTGAAGTGGTGTTGTTGTGGGGTCGATGGGAGAATGAGGAGGGTTATGTGAACGTGATATTATTTAATATTATTGTAAAGCATTTAGTTTGGGCGTTTTCATGGCATTGAGTCCTAGTTATACATGTTGCCAGTTTTGAGATTATTTTAAGTAAACAGTATCCTGAGTAGTAGGCAACTGCTCTTTTTTTAGTAGGGGCGGTGAAATATTGGATGAATTAAACCGTATAACTTTGATGTCATTAGCAGTACTCAGCGGTATTTTAAGCACCATGGTTTGAATAGGTCTTTCCACAAAGATATCCCATGGCAAACGTAAGTTATAGTAAAGTAATCTCGCTATAATTAGACTTCAAGTCAACAGTTGATACATCCCTCGACCTTTTTAAGAATGTATCAAAATTCTGTGAAACACACTCCATTCTGTTATAGACTTTTATAGCTAACATTGTGTTCCATCGAAATGTCTGAAGTGTTGTTTAACGAACCATGGAAACCCGTGGGTTTATAGCTTTTCTTTACTTGTTATAAACCATCATCTTGCGTGTGTAGGTAGTATCTATAGGTAGGCGGCTTGTACTTCGCTCATGAAAAATAAGTAGGATACAAAGATTTGAAAGATTCTCTTCTTTATCAAAATAACAACCGACTAGCAACACTGAATACAAACATGAAAAACAGTTAATTAATGTACAAGTGACCCTTCACTCTCAAGCATTGCTCTCAAAATGAGAAAAGGAAATTCGTTCTATTTTTAAGGTCGACGTTATCCTCATCTTCCTGCC